CAACTTGCCTTAAGACAAAATGCTATTGAGCCATGCCATTGTGCACTTTTAAATTTACAAGTACGTTGCTTGGCATATAAATTATAGAAAATTTATATTTGGTCAAAGTGAAATTTTCATGAAATTTTCACGATAAAATAAATTTTCACAAAATATCACGTGGGGGAGTGGGGTATAGTAAGATATCACGTATATTTATTTATTTTTTTTTAAAGTAAATCAAAACATTTTCAAAGAAAATCATAAATTTTACTGTTTTTGTAACTAAAAATAAGCGAGATGTTTGGTGGAGGAGGGGAGGGTAATTTTGATATCACCACAAATCACCAAAAGTCCAAAAATCCTTACAAAATTTGATTAATGGGTCGTCCATTAATTAATTACTGAACTAGTTGGAAAAGCGAACATCTAAGAATATCAATGTGAATCTTCATGTTTGTTGATTCACTTAATTGACTTCATTTTCTTATATAATACAAAATATACATTTGGTACACATATTCTCATTACGTACTAATCAAGTACATAAACATAAACCAACAAGAGACTATTGTTATTTATATAAATCCCATTGTAAGAGACTAATGACTCGTAATTAGCAAATCCGGTCTGGTGTTCGGTTCTGGTGAATGACTTAGGGTTTGATTAATACTGTGGCCAAATTAGCGTTTCTTGTATGACAAGCGACCTTCAATGCATTTGTTTCAATGAGGTCTAAAAAAAGTGATACAGTCGCATGTGAATAGACTACAGAGTATAGAATCAACTAGTGGTGTATGGCATCGTGCTTTAAGGCAAATTGCTGGAACTTTCCGTACCGTAACGAAATGTTCGAGGAATATTAAATGTTTTCAAATAGATATTATAAATACTGTAACATTGTCTAATATTCATAAGAATTATATAAACTGAATTGCAGGGTTAAAGTATATAAGTGAGCTTTAGAACTTTAGCCAGAATTAAAATTAAAATCTGAATTATTTCCGATATACAAAAAATATTTTTTTGGAAGAAAAAAATTAATTTTGAAATAGAAAAAAAATCTAAACGCAATTGTTTTGTCAACACAAGCAGAAAGTTTTTTGAATCATTCAAATTAGATGCTTAGTTCCCTCAAAAACTGCCATTTTTTAGACATTTAGCTCCGTATCTTCGGAATGTCTGGACCTGCCTTTTCCTAATCACTACAAAACTAATCACTACTTTTTCCAATCATTACAAATTGATCATTCTTTGTTTCATTCAATCTTTGTTTCAATCAGTTCTTTGGATCATTCAAATTAGATACTCCGTTCTCTCAAAAACTCAATTTCCATATTCTGCACTCTTTGCTCCGTATCTTCATAACGGCTAGACCTGCCTTTGCTTAAAACTAATCAGCTCATCTTCTTATTAATAGGAATCGAATGATTTTTGAACCATTCAACTCTGTTGATCCGTGCTCTCGAAAACGTGGACGAAAAATTGCGGACACACAAAACACACACACACACATACATCAAATTTTTCTAAGGTATATCAAAATGTTCAATAACCTCTGAAACGTTAAGATATGCAAAAATTTTCATTTTCGATTTCGAGTTAATAAACATTTGAATGATGCAAAACGACAATTGTTTCTGATGCTTGAATTAGGCTTAAGCTAACGAGAAAAACAATGAACAAAATCATATTAATTAAATCAAATTAACAAACCATAAATGTTACATTTATCCTAAAAGGACAACAAGTAAATTATTCGGCTTTAAAAATGCAAATTCTCCTGGCCATTATCAGATATTTTGCGAGATTAATTTTTTGCCCTGGTAGTGCTCTGGCAAAGTTCTCTGGCAAGTAACTTTGGGTAATCTTCGAAGCTGCTTTTGTTCTTTTCTGAATGAGTTTGAATATCATCATTTATTGCTCTTATACCGGCGTCATTATGGTTCAACCATAACAATACTTTGGAGCATTCAAAATTTCTATTAATGATTTAAAATCTAAACTTATTGAGTATTATAAAACCAAATAAGAACAAATAATTTGTCGAAAGTTCGTGTTCAGATCATTATTGAAAATTTAAACAAGCTATTGATACTTTAAAGTTTCTCAAAACTATTTTAAAGGTTTGTCAATTATTATGTTTAATCAATGAAAGCTTAGTTATATACATTTTATGGGTAATCTTAGATATGTACGGATTCTTAAATTTGGTGGAACGGATATAGATTTTTCAAATTTGTTAACAAAATTTAAAAAAAAAATTTGAATTCTTGTTATTATAGTAGAATAATTAAAATATTTTGTTAGAGTGAATTTAATAATTACTACTTTCTCTCATTAGTACACCCGTTCCGAATTAAAATTTAAAAAATCAGAATTATTTTTGATATATAAAAAATAAATGTTTTGAAATTAAAAAAAAATGAATATTTTTTTTTTCGTTTCCCAAAATCAATCGTTACGTAAACGAAAAATTGTATCCATACATACATACACACACACACAACCATTTTTTCTGAGGTATGCCAAAATGTTCAGAAACCTTCAAAACGTCGAGAAATACAAAAAATTTTAATTTCAATTTTTGGACGATTACAAAAACTTACACTATGGGAAGTTAACTAGGTGCAAGTGGCATTTTGCCTTATGAAAAATTGCAAAGACTTTTATAATATATTATATACATTATATATTTCTCGACTTTATCGAGAAGAATTGAGATTTAGTAACCTATAAAAATTTTCGTATCTCCATACTATTTCGGAAAATATATTAAGGCCATCATGCAAAGTTTCATCAATTTCAGACAAGAAATGTTTCAGCCCGGCCCATCTTTACTAGAAAATCAGTATAATCCCTAATTGATATATTTTGAACAGCTGTTGAATTTTGAAAATCGGTTCAAATTTTTGAAGAAAGCGTGGATGAAAATTCTGCACTTTTTTAATATTTAAATCTAAAGAAGCAAATCGGATGATCGTCTCACAAAGTTAATTAGTAAACAACGCGATTCCTTTTTTTACAGAAAAGTTTTATCAAATGGCTTTACATAATTTTGTTTTCTTAAAGATATGTGTTAAGGTCTTGAAACGTAAAGGTATCAAAAATTATTCTTGTTTTTTTGCGATTTTGTTCACTCATTCTACAGGAAGCGTTTACATCCTATTTTTGTTAAACTAGTATATATTTAGGCTATTGGCATTTAACGATTATCATTTCTGTTATAAAAAAATTATAAACAGATATCATTCTAAGTCATGCGACCTAGTCGATGGCCTCTATAACCGTTCGCAAAATATTCAAGTCATCGCTCGATCGACGACCTTCTAAATATAATAGTACGACCATTTTTTACTCATGCTATGCAGATCTGTATGACATTTTATGTGATTGTAAAAATACAGAGAATTAAATAACTTGACTTGCAGACTATGATATATTCAATTACTACTGTCATAGGGATTTCATTAGTCAAGAATCATTCATTTTTATAATTACAGCTGAAATGGTGCTATTGTTATGATACTAACATGAGCATCATCTGAGAAAATTATATCTAAAGTAGGTTTAAGTGTCACTTGCTTTAAGGCAAGTTGCAAAAGTGTTTCGACATGTATATATAATCGACTTAATCAATAAATTTGTGATCAAGCAATTTTTCAAATAGTGGTGATAG